TATGATATTACATCTCAATTCTATATAAAATATATATGCTTTTGCGCTTTGCTAAAGCTAATATTCACACAGAGAGTGCCATCGTTCGCGACATGTTCAAATATGCCACGGAAGTTTTAATTACCTGAAAAAGCAACATCCCTTCCTTTCTATTTATGATATAGCTTAATAATATAAGTTAATAATATTTTGCAAGCTTTTTATATTATTTGAAATTAGTGTATAAACGTAAAGAAGTAGCAAATATAAAGAAGTAAGCAAAACGTGAAAGAAGTGGAGCTGTATAGGAGCGTTGTAACAATTTAGAATGTAAAGTAAAAACGGCATGTATTAATTGTTTATTAATACAGTTCATCATGAGTGCAATGTATGCATTACTTACATCACCAAAAGTTGCGATAGACAATTGAAATAATTTTCCAGCGATTATCTTGATTACGTTACTCGATCGTGCTATTATCAAAACGAGCCCAAGAGCAGTTTTGTGTGGTAATTCATACCAGTTAATCATATATGCTTTTTTACTAATATTTTTACACTAATAAAGGCAAGATCTAAATTTACTTATATTGAATAGCCAGAAAAATGTATAAAAATTTAAGGAATATCAAGATTTGTTAAACTTAACAAACAATACCAAATCTCTTTTTAAACAGAACTTAAACAGTCGTCTAGTGTTCCGAAATATCTTTAAATAATTATCTGTTCTGTGAGAATTTCACCGATATAACAAAATATAAAAATATTGAAAGCCATAGATAGATAAATAATGACATATGACATTGTTTTTAATCCGTCAAATGTATCCCAATTCTATAAAGATAAAAGTATATATTTAACTATAGAATAACGAAAGATTAATTATTTGCGATATTTTAACGAAGTGATATAATCATTAAACTGGATAAATAAGGAAATATATATAACAGGCTTAAATATATATTACAGGCTGTTATATATTCACCTTTCATGTCATTAGCGTACTGTAATAAAATAATATGCAAGCAAACACATATTCATCGTACATCCTAATAATTCCACAAGACAGATATGTTGCATGATACTCTCCATACACGATATAAAACTGCCACGTATATATAATTGAATTTTTTTTTAATAAAAAGAAAATAGAAAAAATCATTTAAAAATTTATTTAATATTACACTTTTGCACAGCTAATAGTAAATTAATTTTTCTAATTGTAATTGCATTTAATAAATCGAGTGATCTTCCGAAAACAGTCGGTTTCAAAACTTAAATTATATACTTCAATACTCTCAAGTGATGCTCCACGATAATGGCCAGCCTCTGTTCGGCCGATTGGTTTCCCTTATTCTCATCCACGATGAGTTCAACCACGAGAATAGTATGTCCAACTGGCCGTATGCGTGCATAGCAAAGACCGCATCGAGCCTACAAGCATCCACTGTGACCGAATTCACCACAAAACACGACAGAAGCTGAATAACTATCATGATCTCATTCGATGGACTAAATCTCACGTCGATGAATTTGTTATAAATTGGACAGGTCATGGGATGCATTGAGATAGTTTCATTACCGACGACGACAATTGTGGTTGTCAGTGACTTGGCTATGGAAAAGAGGAACGTGCCGCTTTGCATGAATATAGCGCAAAATCCGGAGACGAAGCTACCGATTTTAGCGTGTCGCATCATCACCTCTCGATCCTCAATCTTTTGCACGAGTCTCCAGTCTGTCTCCATGTGCTGCACACATTTCCGGATGTTATCACTGTGCGCGACCAACAATCAATAATTAATCATGCCCATGAACCAGTGGCTCAGCGGGCTAAAAATGCTGATTTTTACTTGAACATCTTTTTCCTCCAAGGACACGTAGAGCAAGCACGGCACCGCGATAATCGCTATCAAAATAGAGCAGGTGAATATGCGCGTGCGACGAGATCTTCTCTACTCTCGTCGCCGTGTTCGCTCGTGGCCAAATGCTGATTGGCATCAGAAACCAACGAGTCAATTGAAGACTGTAATCGTTGTTGCTTTTGTGCATAGTTTTCGTGCCACTTGGTACAAATTCGGAAGCTGTCATGATCATCTCACGAAGGCGCACGCTACATTGACTGCAACGAGCAGTGCTCCGACTAGAACTATATTTGAACAAGCGCCTGCGCGATTTATTAGAAACTGCAGTGAGTGGATAAGGTAATGTGCTTTCGAAGAGGGACAACTGCGTGTCTGATCGATAATTGATGCTCTCGGAAGTGCAGCGTTGAGGGCTTTCGTGGAGAATATAGTGGGAACAGACGAAAGACAGTCAAAAGTTCTCATCTATAATCAATATTCTTTTATGATACTGTGCGAACAAATGTAAACAGTGATATTAATTGAGAAAAAGTTTGTGGCAATTAGTATTCTTTAGTCACAGAAATTGAGTAAATTATTAATTTTTATTTTTATATTAAACTGGTGCATACACAGAACGTGTGTTCAAAATTCGTTTCCACAATGTTTGTGGGAACATAGGACGGATAAAAATCTTATCGTTTTGCGATATTCACAATAAATCTCGATATGTTAATTAAAGAAGATTAGTGAATAATTACGCGCGATATGGTAGATATGTTATAATAGCAATAAATACTGTTGTGTACACTCGTGGTCTGAAAGGTTTGTGCACCGATTTTATGTAGATTTCGGAACGCGTCCTAACTTCAGGAGAGAAACAACCACTACTTGACACGCCAGCGCCGCCACTTATTACGAGAGCAGAAGGATGGCATATACGGTATATGACATCCTTCTGCTCTCGTAATAAGTGGCGGCGCTGGCGTGTCAAGTAGTGGTTGTCTCTCTCCTGAAGTTAGGACGCGTTCCGAAATCTACAAAAAATCGGTGCACAAACCTTTCAGACCACGAGTGTACATTATGTCAAACTAAACAAAAAAGTTCTCTAATTTTGCGAATGAACACGTAGATTTTTAGTTATTAGTGAGAGAAAATTGTTATATGATTGTGTGCGATAATACACAAATTTGCTTTAATTAATAACTAAAAATTTATGTGGCCATTTGCAAAATGGTAGAGAATTTTTTAGTTTAGTTTGCCAAACAGCACTACTACAACTCATTTACCATTGCGTGTAATCATTCACTAATTTTCTTTAATTAATATCTCCGGATTTATTGCGAATATTGTAAAACAACATAGAACTTTTATGTTTACCTCAATGTTTTTCGTTCCCAGGAACGATATGGAGATTGATACTTGTATGTGTTTAGCTTTATGAAATTTGTGAAATATTTCTTTAGCCATTATTTTCATAATGTTACTCGATTGTGTAGGATGTTTGTATCATAAGTCTTTGTTGTGATCTTGTGTTAGGTTTTAAGCACATATCAACTATAGTAATGTTGTAAATAGGGACAAACGGAAAGAGTCCTACGATTATCAATATAAACGGTCCTACAACGGGATGCGTTAGAGAAAGACAAGGTTAGCCATTAAAACATATAAATTATGTAAGCTCAAGAAGCACAGTAAAGCATTATCAGAAAAGTTATTTAATTTGTTCACATATCCTTCATTACGAGTCTCTCTCTCATATTTACTTTACTATAAATATAATAACCATTCTACAAACTCGTGAGATAAGTATGATCTTATGACAAACAATTTTATTGAAATTTCAAATAATTATCTTAAGCTAAAATCAATATAGCCAATATATGCTTTTAAATAACGTAATGAGAAACACATATATATTTAATGGCATTCATAGTGGTTTATTCTATTTATTAAATATTTCTTCCATCTTGAAACGGTATTGCATTTGTTCTATATAAAATATATATTTTACCTTTCCTAATTTAATATTGGTTATGTGGAGTGTGTCATCGTTCTTAATATATTCAAGTATACCACAGAAGTTTTAATTACCTGAAACAGCAAAGTCTTCCTCTTCCTATTTACAGTAAGGTTAATTATAGAGAATTTTAACACAAATATATTAAAACTCGTAAATATCATGTACTTGGGGACATAAAAAAGATAATGAATAAAGAGAGATGAGAGGACAGGAATATTATAATAATAGATTTATAATGCATATAAAAATATAAAGTAAAAAAATGTATCACATTTTTATTCATACATTGCCATTATGGGTGCGATATACGTTTTACTTACATCACCAAAAGTTGCGATAGATAATTGAAATAATTTTCCTGCTGTTATTTTGATAACATTGCTCGATCGTGCTATTATCAAAACGAGACCAAGAGCAGTCTTGTGCGATAATTCATACCAATTCGTCATGTATGCTTTTTCGCCGACATTTTTGCACTGATAAATAAATATATATATATATATATATATATATTAAATTTTCTTACGAAAATATGTGAGAAGCAAATGTGTATAAAATATTATTGAAATAAATTTCACATGCAGTCGGCGATTACATATAAAAAGAAAGTGATAAAATTAGGATATGATATGATATAAATGTACGTGTATGAAGAAATCACAAATGTTTAATATTAATCAGTAAGTTGAGTAAATACCTGTTCCGTGAGAATCTCGCCGATATAGCAAAATATAAAAATATTAAAAGCCATAGATACGTATACCATAACATACGACGTTATTTTCGCTCCGTCAAAATCATTCCAATTCTAGAAAATTAGGAAAAAATATTTAACATTTTATAAATAAGAAGACTACAAAACGCTACTATAACGTATTCACCTTTTTTAGATCTTTAGCATACCGTAATAGCATAATATGCAAGTAAACACATATTCATCGTACATCCCACCAATTCCACAAGACAGATATATTGCATAATATTCTCCATACGCGATATAAAACTGCAACGTGTACGTATAAATGTATTATGCCTTTGCCGTAAAAAGGAGAACTTATAAACTTAAAAATTTCCCTCCCAATAAAGAACTTTTAAATAACAAAAATTATTTATCGTTGACACGCTAAAAGACCGATTTTGACTAAATGTGGTTACTTTAATTGATATTTAGTAAATGAAATTCCTGTAAAACAGCGCAATCTTTGATGCACAATTTAAATACCTCAACACTCTCAAGTGATGCTCTACGATGGCGGCCAGTCTTTGCTCCGCGAACTCGTTTCTTTTATCTTTGTTAACAAGTTCGTTCAACCATGAGAACAACATACTCAACTGCCCATAAGCGTGCATAGCGAAAACCGCAGCGAGACTGCACGCGCCCACTGTAACCGAATTCACTATAAAACACGACACCAACTGCACTACAAGCATAATTTCATTCGCAGGGCTGAATCTCGTGTCGATGAACTTGCTATAAATCGGGCAGGTCATCGGGTGCATCGACGTGGTGTCATTGCCAATGACAACAGGCACGGATGTCATCGCTTTAGCAATGGTGAAGAGAAATGTGCCGCTTTGCATGAAAATTGCGCAGAATCCGGCAACAAAGCGACCGATTTTCGCATATCGCAACATCACTCCTTGATCATCAATTTTACGTGCTAGTTTCCAGTCCATCTCCATGTGCTGAACACATTCACGAATATCACCGCTGCGCGTTAGCAGCAGCCAATAATTAATCATGCCCATAATCCAGTGACTCAACGGACCCATGGCGATCAGTTTCATCTGGACATCTTTCTCTTCCAGTGATACATACAACAAACACGGCACCATGATGATCGTTATCAAGAAAATGCAAGCGAGAATATGCACTCGTGAGACTCTGTCTATTGTCGTCGAAGTGCTCGCATGTGGCCAAGCTGCGATCGGGATTAAAAACCAACGAGTCAGCTGAAGGCTATAGTCATTGTTGCTTTTGTACGAGAATTCGATGTTCGTCAGCATGCGTCCGAAGTTTGTCATGATCGTTTGACGGAGGCGCACAATATACTGGCTGTTACGAACGATGCACCTGCACCGAAGGTATATTCGAACGGGCGCGTGCGCGCATCTTTAGAGCGAACAATTGATGAACGGACAGGGCGATATGCTTTCTGAAAGAAGCGCGTGTACGCCTGATCGATAATTGATGCACATGAAAGTATCGTGCGCACGTTGACCGCGTGGGCGGAGAAGGCAGAGGGAAAGTACGCAGAACAGTGACAAGTTGCTTCACGTTATTAACTTCGTCTTATAGCGTCGTGTGTAAATTTCTATACAATATGCATAGACATATTGTTGAGGAGGCATACTTAACTTACGATAATTAATATTTTATTGTTATGAATCTTATAAATATTTTATCATTCGTTATATGAAACGTTATATTAATTCGTTATATTAATTCGTTATATTAATACGTTCAACTTGAACACGTACAATCGCATTGTATTTGTGAATAATGAGTCATAAGCTACATTGTAATAAAATTATTTATATACTTTTACTGAATACTGTTTATTAAATACTGTTTTCTACTTTGATGATATTACACATCTCAATTCTATATAAAATATATATACTTGTGCTTCTTTGCTAAAGTTAATATTCACACGGAAGGTGCCATCGTTCGCAACATATTCAAATATACCATGGAAGTTTTAATTACCTGAAAAAACAATGCTTCTTCCTTCTTATTTATGATATAAATTAATAATATAGATTAATCATATTTTACAAACTTTTTACATAATTTGAAATGAGTGCATAAACGTAAAGAAGTAACAAATATAAAGCAGTGAACAAAGTGAAAGAAGTGGAGTTGTATAGAGGTATTGTAACAATTTAGAATGTAAAGTAAAAACGGCATGTATTAATTGTTTATTAATACAGTTTATCATGAGTGCAATGTATGCATTACTTACATCACCAAAAGTTGCGATAGATAATTGAAACAATTTTCCAGCGGTTATCTTGATAACGCTATTCGATCGTGCAATTATCAAAATGAGCTCAAGAGCAGTTTTGTGCGGTAATTCATACCAGTTAATCATATATGCTTTTTCACCAACATTCTTACACTAATAAATGCAAGATTTAAATTTGTATTGATTAGTCCGAGAAATGTAAAGAAATTTAATCAATATCAAGATTAGTTAAGTTCAAACAATATCATAACTCTTTTTAAGCAGAACTTAAAGAGTTGTTCAGTGTTTCGAGATATCTTTAAATATTTACCTGTTCCGTGAGAATCTCGCCGATATAACAAAATATAAAAATATTAAAAGCCATAGATAGATAAATAATGACGTATGACATTGTTTTTGGTCGGTCAAATGAATCCCAATTCTACGAAGATAAAAGTATATAATTAATTAAAGAATAACGAAAGATTAATCTTTTGAGATATTTTAATGAAGTAATTCAATTGTCCAAATGTCCATTAAATTGGACATTTGATAAATAAGGAAATATACAGAGTGTCCGGTAACTGATTTCGAGGCGGAGTAACAAGTGATACGTATACGTTACTCTACCTTGAAATGAGCTGTTTATTCATTGTTGCTAAGAAGTAAGCCATTTCTTTTACACACAGAGCCTGTCCTACCGCTTCTCGTAAGTTCATTCGTTTATACATTTTAATTAATTACGGAATAAATATTGAGAAAATTTAAAAATGATATATAACTTTTAATATTATTTTGACCCTTTCTACCTGTACACGGCGGTTGCTCAATCAGTTATCAAACATTCTGTATATTACACAGGTTATACAGGGAGGGGAAAAAGATTGGTACGCTTGAATAATTCGGGAAATCTAAATTTTATAGTATATTATCTAAGTAATATAAAAATGTTTTAAACAAAAGTTTAAGGTGTAAAGCAATCTATTTATTCATATTATCAGTTTATTCATATTACTTTGGTGAAATCATCAAGGTCAGGGCAATATCACCTTAAATTTTTTAAATAAAACCCCTTATTTTTATCGCATATTTTTGTAGCTTATCTCGAGAGCTTTCCGAAATATTATAATAACGTATTTTTTTACTAAGTACATTCTGAGTAATGAAATTTGAAAGTTACAGTACCACTGGAATTAGCATTACCCAAGGTATAATATATTACGCGGTGATTGCTCGGTCGGATTTACAATCTCTTTCAAGATTAAACTAATAATATCAATTAATAGATCTCTTTACACGGTATATTGACCTTTTTTCCCACTCAACTTTCATGTCATTAACGTACCGTAATAAAATAATATGCAAGTAAACACATATTCATCGTACATCCCAATAATTCCACAAGACAGATATGATGCATAATATTCTCCATATGCGATATAAAACTGCAATTCATATATAACTGTAACTGGTTGCATTTTTTTAAATAAGAAGAAAACAGGAAAAATTGCTTAGAAATTTGATTAATTTTACACATTTATATAGTTAATAGTAAACTAAGTTTTCTAAATGTAATTACACTTGATAAATCGAGTAAACTTCTGAAAACAATCGGTTTCAATGCTAATGTGATATACTTCAATACTCTTAAATGATGCTCCACAATAATGGCCAGCCTCTGTCCGGCCGATTGGTTTCCCTTATTGTTATCCACGACGAGTTTGTTCAACCACGTGAACAGCATGTCCAGCTGACCGTATGCGTGCATAGCAAAGACCGCATCAAGGCTGCAAGCACCTATTATGACCATATTTACCACAAAACCCGACACAAGTTGGACAACTATCATGATCTCATTCGCTGGACTAAATCTCACGTCGATAAATTTTTTATAAATTGGACATGTCATGGGATGCATTGAGATAGTCTCATTGCCGACGACGACAATTGTAGTTGTCAGTGCCTTGCCTATGTCAAAGAGGAACGTGCCACTTTGCATGAATACAGCGCAAAATCCGGAGACGAAACGACCAATTTTAGCGTGTCGCATCATCACCTCTCGATCTTCATTCTGTTGCACGAGCCTCCAGTCTGTCTCCATGTGCCGCACACATTTCCGGATGTTGTCACTATGCGCGACCAACAACCAATAATTAATCATGCCCATGAACCAATGGTTCAGCGGGCCAAGAGTGCTGATTTTTAGTTGAACATTTTTTTCCTCCAAGGACACGTACAACAAGCACGGCACTGCGATAATCGCTATTAAAGAGGAGCAGATGAGAATAAGCGCGCGCGACGTAAACTTCTCCACTCTCGTCGCCGTGTTCGCTCGTGGCCAAATACCGATTGGGATCAGGAACCAACGAGTCAATTGTAGACTGTAATCGTTGTTGCTTTTGTCCATAGCTTCCGTGCCACTTGGCACAAACTCGAAGGCTGTCATGATCCTCACCAAGGCGCACGATGCACTGACTACAGCGACTAGACTGACTGCAGTGCTCTGACTAGAGCTATATTTGAACAAGCGCCTGCGCGGTTCATTAGAAACTTCATTGAGCGGATAAGGTAATGTACTTTCGAAGAAAAACATCTGCGCGTCTGATCGATAATTGATGCTCTCGGAAGTGCAGCGTTGTAGGCTTCCATGGAGAACATAGTGGGAAAAAACTGATGACAGTTAAAAGTTCTTATCCGTAATCAATATTCTTTTACGATACTATGCGAACGTACGTAAATCGTGATATTATTTGAGGAGAAGCTTGTGGCTATTAGTATTCTTTATTCACAGAAATTGACTAAATAATTAATTTTTATCTTTATATTAAACTTTTGTGTACAGAATATGTGTCCCAAATTCGTCTCTACAACGTTTGTGGGAAAGTAGGACGGATAAAAATATTATACCGTTTGGCGATATTCACAATAAATCGCGAGATATTAATTAAAGAATTAGGGTTTCAATATTGAATCGGATTGGACATTATCCAGATATTCGATTATTCGAATAGCGGATAAATATGATATTTCAGATTTGAGTTATCCGTAGATCCGCGGATACTTAAATAATGCGGTTTTAAAGTGTCAGTTCGAAACCGGAAACAGAGAATTATTTATTTAAATATTTAAGAGCTATAATAGAAGATTAGTGAATAATCACGCGCGATATAGTAGATGAATTATAATGGCTATAAGTGCTGCTATATACATTTTGTCAAACTAAACAAAAAAGTTCTTTATCATTTACGAATAAACAAGTAGACTTTTTAAGTTATTAAATAAAGAAAATTATGATATGATTGCGCGATAATACACAAATTTTCTTTAATTAATAACTAAAAATTTATGTGGCCATTTGCAAAATGGTAGAGAACTTTTTAGTTTAGCTTTAGTTAGCAAACGGCGCCACTACAATTCATCTACCATTGCTTGTGATTAATTCACTAATCTTCTTTAATTAATATATCCAGATTTATTGCGAATATCGTAAAACAATTTGGGACTTTTATGTTCACTTCAATCTGTTTTACGTTCCCACGAACGATGCGAATATTAATACTCGTATGAGTTTAGCTTTATAAAACTTGTGCAATATTTCTCTAGCGATTATTTTCATAATGTTACTCAATTGTGTAGGATGTTTGTATTATGCATCTTAGTTTACTGTAAACAAGGATAAACGGAAAGGGTCCTGCGATTATCAATATAAATGGCCCTACAGCAGGACACGTCAGAGGAAAGCAAAGGTTAGCCGTTAAATTATGTAAATTATATAAGCTCGAGAAATACAGTAAAGCATTGTCGGAAAAGTTACTTAATTTACTCATCTATCCTTTATTATAAGTTTCTTTCTCATATTTACTAACTATAAATATAATAACCATTTTACAAACTCGTGAGATAAGTATGATCTTATGACAAACATTGAATTTCAAATTGTTATTTTAAGCTAAAATCAATATAGCCAATATATGTTTTTAAATAACATAATGAAATTATACTATGCGTCACGTTCAAAAGTGATTACCTGTAGTACCGTCAGTTATGCTGAACTTCACAACGTTTAGATTTATTTTGTTTCTCTCGTCATCTGACCTGCGTAAGTGACCGACTTCATATCGTTTTCGTTGTGCGAGAAGTTTTCACGCGTATTTTTGTATGATTTGTAGAAATTGTTTCTCTGATCTTAAATTATTGTTATCTGGTGATAGGAAAAGATAAGAAAAGGAGAAGATCAAGATCCCATTTAAAAGAAAGAATCGTTTAAGGAAAAAATGAGAAAAATGCAAGATCAACTAGATAATTTAACCTCGTTGATCTTATAATTTACACAAGATCGTACTGAATCTATTTTTCCTAATAGTAGATTTAAATTTTTTTGCATACTAATGTATGTTATCCTCCACATGAGATTATTTAGTCCTGTACGGTTAATTAGGAGAAATACATTTTTTGTGCTATATCTCCCTCTATATGTAATAAGTTCCATACAAACAATATTCACATAAAAGTTGAAGTTGATTAAGAAATTTTGACCTTTTAAGATTATTGCCCATACAGCAGAAGCACATTTTTATATGTAAAATAAGTTCCATACGAACGAGTTCACATAAAGTAATAAGCTTTAAATCATTATTATTTTTTCAGCTATAACTTTTGAAGAAAATAATAAAGAAATTCAAAAAAATAATAAAGAAATTCAGAAAATGATATTACTTATACTGTAGTTAAAACTTCTATTATTGACAACAAGTCGAATACAGATTTAAAAGTCCAAAAAGATCCTAAAATGAACACTGATATTGATGAAGATATTTTAAGTTTATTAGGAGAAAATCCTAATGTTTTTTCAGAATCATCAATTAATTTACATCCAGTGATCATTCCTAGGTGGAAAAAATGGACGTCGGAAGGTTTATTAGATAATAAAAAATATGTTCTTCTTAAGAAATATCCACGGGAAGATGATTTTTATACTGATCCTCCAAAAGTCAATTTAGAAGTAGCTCCAGCCTTAACAGAAATAGCTTTTAAACAAGATGAACATTTTTCTAACACGCAAATAAATACGTGGGAACAGCTATTATTTCTTTTGGAGCAGCTATATCCATGCTTCTAGAACACTCAGAAGAAGGAATTGATTAATTTTCTCTAATTATCTTTGGGATACTGGTAAACATTTGACAGATATATATTTTCAATAATCTGTGGCAAGAAAATGTTTTACCACTTCTCTGATGGATAAGTTTATAAAACCGATATTAGATGCTACGAAATCGAACCGATGACTTTATGGAGAGAAATTTGCAGATCAAGTTAAAGAAGCTAAAACTGTTGAAAGAGCTTGTAATAGTATCAATGTTAAATCTTTTAAAAGTCCTGTAATGAAACCTCATGTTCAGGAAAACTGGAAAGACCCACCTGCCAAATTCAGACAAGTGGGTTTTATTGCGCAGACAAGTGGCGGATTTTATTGAAAACCAACGATTCGTTTCAAGCCCAGAACCTAATTTAAAACAAATCAGATGTATCATGTATATTGATCGACACAACATCCATTGAATCAGAAGGTCACAAAGAAATAGTTGAGGCTAGTTTCGCAACTGCGAAACAACAACGAAAAGTAATTCATGCCACCTATGCACCAATGGCTCAATGGCCCCACGGCTTTCAATTTCATATGAACGTCGGTCTCCTTGAACAGAATGTTCAAGATACACGGCACAACTGCGAAGGATATCAGGGAATAGCAAATAAATATTTGTATCGTTGACCGCACTTTTTCTCCGACTGTTGTTGTGGCTGAGCTCGGCCAGGCACCTACTGACTTTAGGAACCAACGATTCTACTGAAGACTGTAATCATTCGCATCCTGCTGCGAGACCGCGAGTTGCACATGTTTGCCAGTGACCATGATCACTCAATGCAAGTGCAGATGCTACTGAATGGATTATTATACGTTCCGTGCAGACAGGAAGTGGCACTTACGCTTCCAAGAGGTCTATGTCTCTTGGTAGGTAATAATAGGATATTTTTTGTTTGCGCCTGGTAAGTATATCAATAGTCATATCTCATAGAGTGTGTTATATTGAGGGATGTGAATTGTCTGGCAAGGGAAGTGACTTTGATAATTATACACTAGCGATTATGTGTTTATCTATCTTGGTTTTTGGTACATGAAATTTTTTTCTAATTATTCTACATTCATGTTTCAATATCTATAAATTGTGAATCTGACATAGTATTCTCTGAGAGACAGATATACGTAAACTTTACAGCAATTTTTAATCTTGAGTTACGAAATGTAGCAACATTTATTTCCTTATAACTGTTTAAACTGCAATGATATTGCAATGATGAAATAATAATGCATGTAATCAGTAAAATTTGCTTAATACAATGTGTCAATAAGTATATTTAAAATTTAGGATCAATATATCGATATAAATATCCGTTTGCGACAAATTTGATTATTCCTTTATTCTTTTATATTATTAAATAGAAAATAGATAAATTTGAGATATATTTATAACAAATGTATTGCGGCGTTATTATAATGAAGAGTTTAATTCGCAGCATTGCATAAATTTGTAGATTGTTTCAGACACATCTATTTAACTTTCTACATACATAACTCTCTCTATGTACCTAAAGTTGGAATAAATTGAACAAAAATTAATTATCACATGCTATAGAAATCTATCGGGATTCTTAACCTTAGAATACCACATTTCTTTTGAAGGTTTTACTACACAAAATGTAATAGACCTAACTACTTTCAACTATCAACATTTCCTCAAAAAGTGAATACTTTTTAATATCTATATTTTTTTAATTTAAATACCCAAAAATCAGGATTATGTCTATATTATTAATTACGACTGAAGTTTTATAAAAAAAAGTTAATTTTGCAAAAAGATCGAATAAAAATTTCCCTAATCACAAAAAGATTTTATTTACTTGAAAATTTATAGTTTTTTTTAACGTCATATTGTATGAAACCAATTGACATTTGTTAAAAATGGGGAATGTAACTTTCTAGAAAGAAATATAGAACAATGATTAGAAAAAAAAATGTATATATATATATATATATATATATATATATATATATATATATATATATATATATATATAT